TGTAAGATTTACTACTGTTTACGGGTGAATTTAAAGAAACGTTTTCATATTGAAACTTAACCGGCAATTATTAATTTTAAAAAATTCACTCAAATTGCACGAAAAACGCTTTTTCGCTCTTTCTGAATTTAGCAGAGTGAAAAAATTTGTAACTAGCAATATTTTTCTTCTTCTTTTTTACACTTCAAATATCCCTGAGGATCAATAATTTCACGCTTCCCGTCCCTAAAGTCTCATTCCTACGCAGTCCCTAATCAAGCCATCCCCGCAGGTAACCGTTGATAAATTTTTGACCGTCGATAAGTATTTGTTTTGTTAAAATGCACCTAAAGAGAAAAAGTAAATGCATGAAGTAACTAAGTGCCTCGCATGAATCGCTCTAAGAAGCGACAATTCAGTGGATGATTTATGATAATTTACAATGCATGCACAGTTATAAAAGTAGTTCTAGTAATATAATAGTAAAATCGCTCATTTTACCAAACTTTCCCATTTTAATACTGACTTCTATATCGTATTATTGCCTGACGAAAAACCTCCAAAAATCTTGGCACCCAAATAGAGTATATTTCCTGATAAATTACAAACATATTCTGGTCTTTTGCTGTAATTCTATCTTTAAAAAATATAATTCTCAGTAAGTCACCCGTATGTTGTATATTTAAATTGTATTTTGATATCCACCAAGGAAGAAATAAGTACAGGAAACCTCTTCGGTTTCTCAAGCAGTTTTTAACATGTTTTGTTCTTTTTTTCGATCCCTCAAAATTATAGTTGGTTTCCATAAAGTTTACGTTATAATGTGAACAATTCGTTCAAATGAACGAGGGGAAGGGAAAAGGAAAAAAAACAATTGCAGGAGGGGAGTATAGTTCTTAAGTACAAGAATTCTTTCATTAAGAAGAAAAAATTAACCGTTTTACGATACGTCCGGGACAAAAAAGCAATAACAACGCTTTTAAGGTCAACGACGAGTTTTTTAATTACTTGTTGTAAAAAATGGCTTCAATTACATGACGCGTTTTTGAAGAGAGTATTTTTTTTCTCAACTTTCCCAGTGCTTTCGCGTTTTAATTAATGCCTTTGACGTCATGACATATAACGTGAAACGTTTATGCGTGCAAATTAGAGGAAGAAAGAAAGAGAAAAAGTAAGGTACAGGGGTGCAATGAAAAAGAAGCCTTTCTTTTACCGTCTCAAATTACGATGCATTTTTCATAAATCGTTTATTTTTTTGGGAAGAAATAAAACCCGTTGGCATTCGTCGTTTACTAGGAGAACGAACGTGACTTCATCACAACGTTGAGAAATTTTCTTAAATGATCTTAAACATTGGATTTTCATTGGGATGCTGTTATGGGTTTTTAACTGGAATTTTCACTAATTTTCCTTCTCATTACACGCAAAAATCCGCACGATTCATTAGAGGAATCACACTGTTACATTCTTGTAAAAATTAAATTGTTTGAGTAGCTTTGGTAACCCTGGAGTACACTGGGGAAAAAAACACATTGGATCTAGAGTCAAGACTCTTAAAAACATTGACAAGAAAAAATACTCTTGATTCAATCGGATTTTTGGTTGAATCAAAACGAAATCCGCTTAAATTAAGAGGCTTGGTTCTTGATTTAAGCTAGATTCTGATTGAATCAAGAGTACTTTTTCTTGTCGATGTTATTCAGAGTCTGGACTCTAGATCCAATGTGTTTTTTTCCAGTGTAGAGTTATGTCCCTTCAACTAAAAAACAATTAATTTAGAAAATGAAGGAGAAAACATTACGGGCACATATGTTGCGTGTTATATCAATAGCCGTATAAGATCATTTGCAGGTTTGGAGAATGTACCAAAATTATCCGATTTGTCCTTCAAAGCACCGACGAAATTTCGCAACCCTGCTCGATTGTTTCGTTTTAACTCATCACAGCATGAGTAACTAATTACAGAGGTGAACTCTCTGCCAAGCTTAGCATATGCGGCAGTAATGACACCAACTTTGAACGCCTATCGTGAGCTTCAATATTCCACAATAAACCAGGCGAGATCGCGTACCCGTTGAATGTATCAGTCATTGGTAGCCTGAAATTAGGTTCTGATGTTTGAATTTCCCAGACCAAGAGCCAAGTTCTATTCCAAAGAACCACCCATTTCAACCAATAGGATCGCTCCATAATCCTTATGCCTTCTTTGTCTATCAGAAAGGGCACTGCGGGCTGATCCTTGAAATTGATAGACAAAGCGATAGACAAAGAAGAAATTGGGAGTATGGAGCGATCCTATTGGATGAAATGGGTGGTTAGTATGGTTATGGACTAAGGGAATAAATATGGACTAATTATAGGGTCTCTCGTGGGTTGCCGTTAGTTAGTCTATTACAGGATTCGAAACTCACCTTCGAGTTTTAAGAGCCATGCGGCGCATTATGCTTGATTTTTATGAACCATTGAAGATTTTTTAGGGGCCAAATTCACTTTTTGCCCATAAATCTCAGCGCATATGGTGAAAAGTTAGAAAATGTTTTAGTCGCAGAGCTAGTAGCCCTATCTTGGGGGAAATTCCGAAAAATCATCATACAAAAAATTAGGGGGTCTTTATAGGGGGAGGGGGGTAATGTTTTAGGGGCCACGTTGGCGCAGAGCCTTCATTTTTTAGGCGCCATGGCCGTTTTTTTAGGCGCATTCAGCGCGTTGACTCCTGTGAGTTTCGAACACTGCTCCTTTGTCCATTACAACCAATAGGATTGCTCCATACTCCTCATGTCCTCTTTGTCTATCGCTTTGTCTATCGATTCCAACAGTCAGCCCGCTGTTCGGCGATGCTCGGCTCAGGGATCATTAATGCGAATCTTTACCGGGAGAAAGGAGGGCGAAACAAAACACAAAGTAATAGAAAGCTAAGAGGATTTTTACGACCGCGTCATAGTTTATTCAGAAAGAACGCTCGAGTATTTTTCGCGTCTTCCCGAGGCCGCAATTGGTGCGGGGAGGAGGGAGGAGGGGGGGGGCAAGCGAAAAAACTAAACGAAAAGGTCAGATTGTCACCGGAATGCAAATACCGAGTCGCATCCCAAGGCGGGTGGGGGTTGTGTCGTGTTATTGCAAAATGAAAAACGGTTGCGGAAAGTGTTTTTCCCTCTCCCGATGGGAGTTACGCCAGTCACGTACTCCTTTTTTGCTTCTTTCGATCCCACGC